TATACTGTGCCGGATGAGGTCAGAAAGGACTATGAAGAGGAGATTGAGACCTGGATCAAGAACGGATGGCTACTAGAATACGATGAAGAAGAACACGGTCCCCCGAAAGGCCTGATTCCACTCATGGCAGTGGTCCAAGAGAATAAAGGGAAGGTGCGACCCGTGCTTGACTTCCGCGAGATCAACACATTTGTCGACACGTACACGGCAGATGTTGATGTGTGTGACGAGAAACTCCGCGAATGGCGTCAGATGGGAGCGAACGTAGCGCTTCTGGACCTCCAGAAAGCATACCTTCAGATACATGTAGACGAATCTCTGTGGCCTTACCAGACTGTCGAGTACAAAGGGACAAGATACTGTCTGAGTCGACTTGGATTTGGCCTGAACATCGCACCAAGGGTGATGAAGACAGTCCTCGAGGCAGTGGTGAATCAAGACGAGGACGTGGCAAAGGCAGTGTCATCATATGTCGACGATGTCTTGGTCAATGAGGATGTGATGTCCGCGGAAAATGTGAGCAAACATCTTCGAGCCTTTGGGCTCCAGTGCAAGGAACCAGTAAGACCAAAAGAAGGCGCTCGGATTCTCGGTCTCCGAGTTCAGGAAGAGCATGGCAACCTCAAATGGAAGAGGGACAACGACGTCCGAGAGATCGACGGGCCGGTGACGAAACGCAAGGTGTTCTCGCTTTGCGGCCGTTTGACTGGACACCTTCCGGTGTGTGGCTGGCTGCGGCCAGCGGTGTCGTTCTTGAAGCGAAAGGCTAATGAAGCGGCGGACGCTTGGGACGACGTCATCGAGGACAGTTTAGTGAATGGGCTGATCGAAGAGATAATGACGCAAATTAACACAGATGACCCAGCGAGAGGTCAGTGGGACGTCAAAGGGAACGAGGTGACGGTCTGGGCGGACGCCAGCATGTTGGCCTTGGGAGTGGTCCTCGAGATCGAGGGCGAGGTGGTGGAGGACGGATGCTGGCTGCGACCAACCGACGGAACACATATCAACATGGCAGAACTTGATGCCGCGCTGAAGGGCGTCAACATGGCCATCCTCTGGGGTGCTAAGAGAGTTCGACTGATGACGGATTCGCGTACTGTGTACCATTGGATCACTGACCTCCTGAGCGGCAAAGCACGGTTAAAGACGAAGGCCGTCTCGGAAATGCTTATCCGGCGAAGGCTGAGTACACTGAAGATGCTGGCCGACGAGTACAACCTGGAGATCAGCGTTCACAGCGTGGCCTCTGCTGACAACAAAGCTGATAAGCTCACCAGAGTGCCGGAGCGGTGGCGAGACACGCGTGCAGGCAGTGGTCCGGCTTGCATCATGGCGGGTGCAGAAGGAGACGAAGATGAAGCCGGGCTAGTGAAGGAGGTGGAGCGGGTGCATCATGCCGCTGGACACCCAGGTGTCAGAAGAACTTTGTACTTTTCCAAGAGGGCAAACTTGCGGGTCACCAAGCGTATGGCACGATCTGTTGTATCAGCTTGTCAGACGTGCCGGTCGATCGACCCGGCACCGGAGAAGTGGACTGGCGGACAGCTGTCGGTAGACATTGTCTGGGAGCGAGTCGCAGTTGATGTCACGCACTTCCAGGGGCGCCTCTATCTGACAGGGCCTCGGCTAAGGAATTTTGACTACTGGGGCAAATCGTCAAAGTGTGTTGGGGCCCTGCTGGGGGGGGGGGGGGGTTGAACACCTGCGGTTTTTCCTGCGGTTTTTCGCGGATATCTAAAAAACGGCGTACATCATCCATCAATTCTACACGTGTTGTAAAAATTTCAGACCAAGGTCATTCAAGATCAGGTCACTACGTCACTTAAAGTGACCTCACCTCATAAAATATTTCAATGTATGCCGTAGCTACACCAAGTGACCGATCGCTTTGAAATTTTCAGCGATTGATAAGGGCAACAGCATGTACAAAATTTATATCTCGAAATTCTCATATCGGTGACCTAAGGTCAGCTAAATTTTGCGACTTCTATTACCTATAAGTCAATAGGAGAAAATTCAAAACCACCTCTTTTGAACGAAAGCTTTTCTAAACACTATAAAACACTGTACGTGACTTTGACACACTGAACATGAAAATAGCACCCGTGACCCTTGTTTATGCCCCTGAGGTCATCTCAGTTCACGAATGGTATCTAACAGTTTTTCGCGAATCACTTTTGAAAGAGGCATGCTAGAGCGATGAAAATGCCTTAGTTGTGTTTGACTCGACGATGCAGATCGACTGATATGCAACATGACAATTTCCGGTCAGATCATGACCTTGACCTGAGGTCGAATTTTCAAGTTGACCTTCAAGGTCAGATTGTAGTTAATTTGATGCGTCTTGACGAGAGGAATATGTCGGTAAAAGAAAGCTCGTGCAAGGCATGAGTCAAAAGCTATTGCAGAAAAAACTGTTCCGGAAAAAATCGTCTATTTTGGTAGTTTTTGCCCCTTGCAGTCAAAACCGTTGACGTTGGGTCAAATCTAAGAGGAATAACCAGAAAGCATGCTAATATGGCTATCAAATGCGCTTTTCCGCGGTGCTGTAGCTCTAATTGGTTCCCGAGTTATGCGCCGGCATCTTGTAAACTGTCGATATTCGACCTGAAAATCGGCGAAATTTGGCCTTCACCATTACCTAACCTTTGACCTGACCAAAAATGGCCGAAGTAATTTCGTCATTATTTTTGACGCTCTTTCGAACGAAGATGGATTAGGATGGAAATTGAGGGTGCAGCTGCACACCGTGCACTCCCTCTTCCGCCGCCCCTGATTTCTTGCCACAAACGTCTTCAACCGCTCCCGAATGAAAGAATGTACGTTAATATTTATATATTCTCATTTTGTGGAGGTTGGGCAAAGCCTGACCACTACTGGGGCATTCCTCGACTCTACTGGGGCATTTGCCCCAGTAGTTAACATGTTAGCCGAGGCCCTGCTATCTGACGATGGTGGACTGCGGACCATCAAGGTTCGCGATTTGGCGCCAGCTGCGATGTGAGAGCGCGGCGTACGTCACAGGGGAGATGTCATCGATTTTCTACGAGAGGGGAGCACCTTCAGAGCTGCTGGCCGATAATGCTACCGTATTCCGCAGCCGCGCATTTCAGGCATTCGTCCGTGAATGGGGCACCCGGGTGCGGTACCGAGCAGCGTACGCACCATCGGGTAATGGCATCGTCGAACGAAATCACCGCTCCGTGAAGGTGATTGCTGCGAGGAAGGGATGTGGCGTGCCGGAGGCGGTGTATTTGTACAATGCGACTCCGAGGGACGACTCGACCGACGCAGCAACCCCTGTCAGCATGGTGTACAAGTACACAGTGAGAGTCAAGGCAGTGGATCCGGTTCAGCCCGCTGAAGAGCCCGAGCCAGATACATGCAGGTACAGCGTGGGAGATGCGGTGTGGGTGAAATCGGCGCGGGGGCGATGTGACGATCAGTACAACGAGGGAGTGGTGACTGGGCGAGTGTCACTGCAGACTGTGGAAGTGGATGGGGTGCCAAGACATGTGCGCCACCTGCAGCCCCGTGAGGCGCACGTGGAACAGCCTCAGAGTGATACCGCAGATGACGAAGGGCCGCTCCTTGTGCGTCTCCCAGAGGAGAACCGGGAGGAGATGGGTCAGGGAGAGGGACAGTGTCGGCGGTCCCAGCGGCAGGTGCGGGCTCCCATGCGGTACGGTTTCGATCAGGATCGGGGAGGAGTGTGATTTAATGTTACCGCTTGAAAGGGCGTTGTTTCAAAAGTGCACTTGAACTGGTCATTTATTTGTTAAGTGAATTGAATGTTCTGCTTTTTGGGTCAGGTGGGGTGAGGCCCTGGCAAGAAGGGAAGATTGCTTGGGGCTTAGGGGCATCTGGGAGGAGTATGACTTATGAGTAAAAGTGATTATGTGGAAGACTCGTGTGGAAAAGGCGTAGGCCGGCTTTGGTGATCCGGTGATTCTTAGTGTCAATTGTGATTACTGATCATGTTTGTTCATTAATACGAAAGATAACTTATCGGACAGTTTTGGTGTCGAAGAGATCAAAGGACGATAAATCTAATCAAATTCCTACAATATGTTAGTTACATAACTGTGCATAATTATCGCCAACATGATTTAAAAACATATCAAACCAACTAAATGCCCATTGTGATACAAATCCGGTGGCGATTATCTACTGTTCCCCGTAGGTACGGCCACATTAAAAATCAATCAGGTGATACCTATCTTTTATGCTTAGCCACAACTGTTAGACGATGACACTCCACTGCTGAGCGACCGCGCTGCTTATACCGCGGTCAGCTGGTTCAACGGGTCCCATCCATCGGGCGCACCTGTTGCTTTAGAGACCATAATACAAACACCGCGCCGCGCCTGGCCGCTGCGGTCCATGGCTAGGTCCGTTGATCCGTCCGTCAGCCCGTCTGTCTACATGCACGGCTCGAGAGCCTGCGGCGGGGCTCCTCTCCCACGCGACGCACACGGCTCGGCGCGCCGGAACCGGGCCACTTCCGGTTGGATCGATCGGCGCGCGGCCAGCTCCGGAGGCTCCGCTCCTCCCCCGCGGCCGCCACCTGGAGCCCGGCGCACCGGATTCCGAGCCACCCAGGCGTCCGTTATCGGAGCAATGATATTGCCATTTCGCAATGAATGCCAGGGAGTCGGAATGTGGGTGGTTATGGAACCGGTGGGCGGTGACTGAGGTCGCTCTGTCTCCGCCGCACAGTGGCTGCGCAAGGAGATTTATTTTGGGTTTTATTTCAGGAGGTATATTTCCTCATTATGCACTTATGCAGGTTTGATTCGTCTGAGGTCGATTTGACGTGTAAATTAAAACACGCAACTTTACTGCTTCACGTCCTTTTTTCTGGATCTAGCTTTCGAGGTCCGTCTCATCAAATTGATTGCAAAATGCAACTTGACCACTCAAGAACTCTAACTCTGCGCCTACGCGGAGCTAAACTAACCCTTGTGCTAACTCCGCCTCCCTTTGTTTTCCGGCAGGCTACGGGTTCGTTGACTTCGATACTGCCGAGGCGGCGCAGAAGGCGGTCAAACAGCTGGTCGGCAAGAACATCCAGGCGCAGATGGCGCGTCAGCAGGAGCAGGACCCGACCAACCTCTACATCACGAACCTGCCGGCCTCCTTCACGGAGCGGGAGCTGGAGGCGCTGCTACAGCGGCACGGCACCGTCATCTCGACCCGGATCCTGAGGGACGACCGCGGCACCAGTCGCGGGGTCGGCTTCGCCAGGTGAGGATTGACAGGGGAGGTTTGTTAGTCAGATGGGGCTTCTCAATAAGAAGCTAGGATGTATAAGGAGGGAGGCGGGTAAGGTACTTGTCAGATGAGCAAGGAAAGGAGTGGAGTTTGTCATATGAGAATGGAAAAGGACTGAGTCTTAGGCGAGGTCAGAGAAGGACAGGGCTTGCAAAGTGAGAAGGAAAAGGAAGGGGGCTGATCAGTTGAGCCTTCTTTAACCCGTGGCTTCTCAACGGGATGACGCCTGACACTGACCGTCTCTCCTACTCTGTCCCCAATTCCATGCCGCTCCCACGTTGAAAGACAGCAAAAACTGACTGTCCCTCTCTTTCCTCGCCAGGATGGAGTCTCCGGAGACGTGTGAGAACATCATCAAGACGCTCAGCGGCCACATCATCGACAACCACAGCCAGAAGCTGGTCATCAAGTTCGCCGACGGCAACAAGAAGCGCCAGCAGCAGAAGGGCTACGACCAGCGGTGGCGGGAGAGCGTCGACGCCAGCCGCGTCAACCCGTACGACGCGTCTCCGCTGCCGGCGGCGGCTCTGGGCGGCGGCGCTGGCGGCGTGCCGGCCGGCCTGGCGCAGCACTACTCGGCCATGCCAGTACCGTACCTGCCCGGCCCCGGCTGGCCGCCCCAGTCGGTAGTTATCGGCGGCCCGATGCCCTCCATGGATATGGACGTGTACGCGCTGCTGCAGGGCATGCAGCAGATGCACGTCAGCGGCGGCCCGGCGGCCGGCTACGGCGCGCCGGCGCCCCAGTACGGGGGCTACCCGCAGCCGGCGCCGGCCTACCACCACCCGGCCGCCCCCGGCATGCCGCACATGTACCACCACCCGCACATGATGCCCATGCCCGTGGTGGAGCCCGATGGTGTGACCAACGGCGCCGAAGACTAGGACAACAGGCATGATAGGTGAGTACTGAGTGAGGTCAGCGCTGACGAGACGGAACGGGTCTCTTGGTCCAGTAAGCCGCTCTGATTAGCTACAGCTTTCAGGGACTTGTGGGCAGAATATGTTTTGTGGCTAATCTCGAGCCTTCCTTGGTATTCTAGAGTTTTGACAATGAAAATATCTGTCTGATGTAAATTGTAATCAACCTCGCATTGGTTACGCTGTCCATTGAATATTATATTTTGACAATGTTTATTACTGATTACTATCTCGATTATTATCTTTACCAGATCTGTCAATTTTGCTGCAGATTTTCAATGACATGCACCCAAATTCCTGCAATGCTGACTGGTGCTTTTTGTCGCTCGAGTCGCTATTTGTATCGTGATGCACTCATGTATGACGTCAGACGGTAGTTCACCCGCGTCATTGCATTGAATCATATCCCCAATACTCACGAAAGCCTGGCTTATACCTCGCCGGAAGTGGTTTCACAATGTGTCTTTCCTTCCAGATAATGTTTGTGTACATATGGAATGGCGGCCGCGGGCCTGGGCCAGATACCCCGCAAGAGCGAGCTTACGAAGGGTCCGACCGACGCGACACGGTGCGGCGTCGCTCAGAGGCTGTAGTTCGCCAGCCGGCCGTGCGTGGCGCTACCAGTAGTGGGCTAGCTGGACTGCTGCTCAGGAACGGATGCCAAACCGAGAGACACTAAGGCAGAGCGTCCAGCCGGCTGCGGGCCTGCTGTTAAGTTTTAGTCGTGAGAGCCGACGGGCGCAGACTGCTGGATCGGTCTCGTCTGATGATTGGTGCGTTTTGAATCGTGACGGGCGCGCTGCCGACTCCCGACCAGTACCGTGCCCTTTTCAGCGGTCTGTTGCGACGACCGCGTTTAGGGCGACACTGGAGGAGGGTGCCGCGGCGGAGCGCCCCGTGCGCGTCTCGTCTCGCCTTCTATGTGCGCCTCCCAGGGACAGGAGCTCATGTTCAGGCGTTTGTGTGCCTCCGAACCAGGCAACTGCGACGCAGGGATATCCGTGTGACGTCATCAACGATCCGACATTCCACCAGAGGCGACCGTCTTGGTTTGCTATTTTGTACAGGTTTTGCATGTCTGCGCCGTTGTGCGCGCCCGGCCGATGTGTCAGAGAATGTGCCGCGGACCGGCCCCCGCCGCCGGGCTGGCCGCTGGTATGTGACGTTCCGTGCTCAGTGCCGGCGCCTCCCCAGTTAGCTAGAGCCTCCTTTCCCCGAGCGTTTTGTTCTCACACGGTGCCTTGTTTCATCGTACCTCCAGCCGAAAACCGGGCTCTATTTTACTACCAGACTCGTGAGCCGAGACCGCGGCGCGTAGGCCAGTGAGCGGCTTCTGAAGCCGAGCGGTAGTGTGGTGGTCGGCCGTTGCGTGGCGGCGTAGCGCTCGGACGGTGTATATAGAGGTGCTGCTGCGGCAGCGCTGCGTGGCACTGTGTCTCGTCCTGTGGTGTCTGCCTCCGCTGCGCCGGCCGCCGTGAATTTTTGTGGTGATTTTGTTGATTTCCGGTGGGTTCGGGCCACCTCCGGTGGCTGCCGCGCCCTAATGCTGGGTTCCTGGTGCTGCAGGTGTATTCGCCGCCAGAAAACCACGACACATCGATTTATGAACGTTGGCTGAACCGATCAAATGTCATTCCAACTCTACACGTTCGGACGACGCGCCCAACAGTGGCCGCGACGTCACCGCGACTTTTTCGTGACGTCATGTGTGTTTGATGGAGGGCGGGCGTCCGCCCCGCCCGGCTGGCTCGGATGGCGCGGCGGCGTTATTTTTGTACAGATTTTTGTGCTCGGGTGTCCCGTGGTGCCGCGTGGCTTCAAGCGGAATGTGCCGTGGTCATGTTGAAGGAACTGTGTGTGTAAATAGGTGCCGATAGCGGCAGGTGCTGCAGGGGCGACATCTAGCGGCGCGACTGGGGCGCCGCCAGGCGGCCGCTCTGCGAAGCGGCGCGATGTGGGCTGCCGGCCGCGGCCTCGGTGGGTTGTTGATGGTTGAAGAGTTTATGTGCGGCCGATAAGGGCTGACGGGGCTGCGGCGCACTCAGCTTTAACAACAATCGGCTGCGCCCGACGAGGCAGGGCGGGAGGGTCTGGTCAGAGGAAATACAGACCGAACTGTGAGTGGAAAGATGGTGTTTGACTTGGGAGGCTGGTAGGCGCCGAGGCGTTGTCGAAATGCGACAGAGTAGGCTGTTAAACTGTGATACGTTTCCAGAATGTGCAGATTTCTCATAAGCTAGTCTCGGACTAAATAAACTTGAAAATTTCAACACCGATGAGACAGGCAATGGTTTTGTAGCCTGGTTAGATCACGTAAAACTAATAATTTGATCTTTCGGAATCGTTGGATGAAGTGCCTGGATGGATCTCGAAAACTTGAGAAAAGTGAGAAATTCAGCAAGCATGGTTCATTCCGAGGTCATCAGCGCTCTCTCCGATTCCCAATTTCAAGTTTATCGGGCGTTGAACTCGTCTCAGTCCAAACTCGAACAACTAACAAGATACTTGACAAAAAAGTCAGTCTCAGATTTCAAAGGTTCTTGGATGGCTGTTTGACTTTAGTGGTCGAATTCTACGCATTGTGGAGCGTTTTGCCTTAGCTTGACTGTATGTTACACATAACGTTCGACCTCGCAGCTATTCCAAGCCCAGACCCTTCACCTGCTTGGCAGCTTGCGTAGCAGTGCATTATTGTCTCATAGCCGGAAACGGGCCCGAATTCGTCACAGATGGTTCATTTGGTCCACAGCTGGAATCGGAACCGTTTGTTTTTAACCACCGATAAAATTGTGTGTAGAATGTTATCACGAGCAAGACGTGTTTGTCATTTACCATCGGTTCTATATCACGATTAGGTATGTACTTACCGTTTGCCGCGTTGACTATAACTAAGTTAATTACGAGTAAGCTCGTTCGGTCATACAGATCCCAAGCGGCGCCGAGATGCATATGCCACTGCACTGCCTTCCGAAGGGCAATGTTCCTCAGCTGTTTATTATTGCAGTTCGATTTTGCTCAAGGTAAGATGTGATTAGGTACGATTAAATAAAATGTTTTCAATCGTTTCTTACGAGCAGTTATTCCTTCCACAGCTAGCGACGTTATCCAAGAGAACGAGGAGCGACGTCATTATTTAATCCGCACGGGTTACCTACACAATATAAAAGTTGCTGAGGGGGTCTCAACTGCGTTACTCGCTTGCGCTGCACTGTCGAACAAAATTAAAAGACAAACAGTTTTAGGTATAGCCACACATTTATAGGCACATTGCCGTTTGCACGAACGAATGAAGCATATTTAACAAGCATTATGCGATATGTCGTATATCTATTTAACGGCTAACGCTAAAAGCACAATAATAGGATAACCATAGCTGAAGCCTAAAGTAGCAGTGTAGCGTTATCAGGCGTTGCGGATAAATGGCACGGCCCCTAGAATTTACCCCTGGAAGTTTCACGGAGGAAAGAGAAAGATAATTGAGAGGGAGGAAGATTGGGAGAAAGGGGAGAAAGAGAGAGAGAGAGAGAGAGAGAGAGAGAGAGAGAGAGAGAGAGAGAGAGAGAGAGAGAGAGAGAGAGAGAGAGAGAGAGAGAGAGAGAGAGAGAGAGAGAGAGAGAGAGAGGAAGATAGGGAAGGAGGGAGGAAGGGAAGGAGGGAGGAGATAGCCCAGCTAGGTAAATGCCCTGGTGCCTAAGTGGCAAGCGTCCTTGTTTCCTAAAGAAACTTTCACTTTCCGCTCTCTACGCCCTTACCCTATGATCTAGGATCACGTTGAAGTCATCCGGCTGCAGGAAGATGGCAAACTGCCTGACCTCGGTGGACGGCTTCTTGGCGCCCTTGGGCAGGCGCACGTGGAACTGGTGCAGCATGCACGACAGGAAGGTGAAGAACTCGGTCCTGGCCATCGACTCTCCCAGACAGGCGCGCTTGCCCAGGCCGAACGGCACGAAGTAGTCGTCTTTTCTGAACTTGCCGTCCTCGCCGATAAAGCGCTCCGGTCGGAAGACGTCGGGGTCGCCCCAGTGGCCGCGGTCGTGGTGCGCCGACTGCAGGTGGATCATCACCGTGGTGTCCTTCGGCAGCGTGTAGCCGCCCAGCTGCGCGGGACCGACGCTCGAGCGGTGTGGCACCGCCAGCGGCACGAACGAAGTGTACCGCCAGATCTCCGTCATCACCGCCTCCGTGTACGGCAGGCGCGGCCGGTCCTCGTAGCTCGGCAGGCGGCCCTCGCCCACCACCTCGTCCAGCTCCGCCTGCACCTTCGCCTGCACGTCCGGGTACAGCACCATCAGCAGCAAAGCCCACGTCATGGACAAGGACGTCGTCTCGCTGCCGGCGATGAAGAAGTCCAGGCACAATGTCCGCAGATTGTTCTCATCGAACCCACGCTTCTCAGCATCGGGGCGTTGTGATTCGATCAAAAAGGCGTCGATGAAGTCGCGAGGGTGGCTGGGGTCGAGAGTCGCCCTGTGCTCGGCAATGCAGGGGCCAAATAGCCCCTGCATCGCAGAGTGGTAGACCTTGATTTTGTTGAAGCCCGACGACTCGGGAGCGACAAAGCGCGCCGAGGGGAACAAAAAGAGGATGTTTTGCGGGCCCGTAATCTGGGTGAACTCTGTGACAATATCCTGGAGCCTTTGACGCTCGGGATCGTCATAGTCAAATCGTCTACTTGCGACCATTTTCCAAATGATGTTGAGCACAACTGTGATAAAGAGGTTGTTGGCCTTCACCTCCTGACCAACTACCTTCTTCAGATGCTCCGCGAACAGAGCATACTCATCTGCGATCATTGTGTTCAACACGCTCTTCCCCATGCCCAGGTCGCGGAGATGCTTTAGTGCGAATCGTCTTTGTTCTTGCCACAATGGTCCTTCGTTGAAGAATATTCCGGCTCTCTTCATCTCCGATAGATACATGACAGTGAATAGTTCGGGTCTGCCAGTAAGTTCAGTTATGTTGCCGGCTTCTTTCACAAGCTCCCCACCGAAAACGTAGACTAATGGTTGACCGAACGGATCCACCATACCGATGATGTCTGACTTGTGCTCGGATCGCAAACGGTTGAGATGTTTCTGGAAGTCGTTCGAAGCAGTTCGGACTAAGTCGATGACGTTGCCGAAGATTAAGAATGTCGGAGGACCTGAGAAATAAGAAATGCTAAACACAGTCGGGCCGGGACATTTTGACATTTTGATTAGCAATAATAACGGGAACGGTTCAATACGATTTCATATATCAATTGAACATCTTCGACAAAATGGACTCAACACCGCTGAAAACGTCACAAAACCGATTTCTTATTACGGTATGATTCATTTGACCTTATCCACAAACCTTTAAGTAAAATGTGATGGCAAAAATACAATACAAAAACGATATATTTCGAGCAGAGCAGTGCTCAAAATATATCATTTTTGTATTATTTTTGCCATCACATTTTATTTAAATGATTGAGCATAAGGACAAATGACTCATGCCGTAATAACAAAGATTTTCCTCGTAACGCTAAACCTAATCAAAAACCGATTTCTTGTATTCTTATATGTACAGTCCACAGCAGAAGTAATGTGCTGTTTCAGTCATGGGTATGTTCTGCTTCTGAAGCTTAGAAACGATTAGCCAGACTGCAATGAAACTTTGAATGTAGCTTATATGTATCGTCACCCTTGCAGCTGCAACTTTAGTTATTGACATCTTCTTTTCGATCACTCCGCATTAAACAATCGCCAGTCAAAGCCAACCGTTGAGATTGGTAAAACCCTACATTACTTTAGCGGTGGGCTGTACATAGGTGAGGCTAATTTGGACGTCACAGACAGAAAGTTTAGGTACATATATTTTTTCAAAACTAGAGCTTTAGAGATAAAGCCGACCAAAAAATACTTGTCTAAACTATGGCGCGCACAAAAATGTTAATACAGCCTTCAGTGACCTGAGGCCTGGTTCGCCAGTTATGGCGGGCCAATGTGAGCGGTCGACCTAGGAGCAGCACTTTCATTCGATAGAATGAATCAAGCGAGATAAATGCTTGCGCAGGACACGTATTCAACAAACAGCCGTGGGCTTAGGTATATGCGCAATCCAACGATGCACAGTGCACACCTCAACCAATGAAAAACTGATTAGGTGCTCGATCGTAAACGGAATAATTACAGGCACTTACATTATATGGACTTTATGTAACATATGCAAAATAGAGTATTAAGTACCTACTCGCCGAAATCATCACGAATCAAATAATGCCAGCCTAGCACTTATCGTGCGCGGCGCTACTGACCTGGTGGAAAGTTGGGCGGTCGTTTCGGTCGAGTGACCCATAGGTAGGTCACCAGAAGGACAACAAAGAAGACGACCGCCGTCCACATCGCGCTGCGCTCGTGGCTGGGGCTGGCAGCGCTCTGACTGGCCTTCAAGGGCGGGCGAACTGCCGCCGCCTGGAGCCGCGAGCTCACAGCTAGATACAAACAGTACGACCTAGGCGTTATGTAACATAGTGATTTCGCTGTGTATACTGATCGACGTTTATGTGAACAGCGTACAAATGCAGTAAGTGAATATCTTGTAACGGTGAGATAGAGGCTCAGTTGCACTTAACGGACGGAAAAAATGTTTGAATTGCTACGCAGCGTTTAACTGTACGTTTGTGACGACGTACTCGTAGGTTACATGTGTGAAGAGGCCATTTAAAACGCCAAGTCATGCTTGGTGCTCTTGCTCAAGGACGCTGATCGACGCTCGCAGATCTAGTGCTGAAACAAGGACCGTCTCTTGCCGGATGGGTGCGCAGGCTGATCTACATATTCAGCAGTTGAGCAGTTAACCAGGACAAAGAATTACGGGATGGATGGCATCGACTGCCGTGCTTCACTTCACGGACTATGTAAGTGGATCGCCTCTGCACTTAATACTTATTTAATGCTGCAGGTACGTTAGAAGGTAAATTTATCTACCTATAAACACAGTGCAAAAGAAGTTCCGTCACAACTCACAACTTCTATCTCAGTGTTTGAGAAATGCTCGATAAATGCGGCTTATAATTCAAGGAGCGAGTACGGATCTCGAAGTGAGCCCGTGCATCATTACGGAACGATGAACAGCTTCGTTATGAGCGGTCCGAACCGGCTC